GGAGCTGTAAGATGAGGCACCATGTGTGGGGACATGCAGTGAGGCATCTGAAGAGGCCTGTGGGAGGTAAAACCCACGAGGACACACGCTCCTGGACAGAGGTGTCTCACATGCTGGCAGGGTTCACCTCTGGGGGATCTGTCACAAGTGGAGGACCCATGCTGGAGCAGTGATGGCAGCACACAACCCCATCTCCTGTGCTGCTGACATCTGCCTGAAGGAATGGGGTTGTGCCGAGGGCAACCAACAGCATTTTTGCTGTAGGAAATAAAGGCTAAGCAGGAGGGGAGGAGAGGTGTGTAGCTTGATTTGAACCCAGGAATGGGGGAGGAAAAGTCTTTACTGAAGTGTTTAATCGCTTATTATCTCTTTTCATCTCAATACCCAAATCAGTGATTAGAAGTCTGTGTTAATTGCCAGTTAGCTACCTTATTAAGTAAAAATTCAGCAAGTTGAGGCTGTTGTGCTGAGGACACATTGCCTGAACATCATATCCCTTCCCACTGCCTCATCCTCCCTAGAACCATGAGGAAGAAGTGCCTCTTTGCTGTCCTGGAGGGACCAAGCTGGCATCTCTGCCCAGAGAGCTGGGGAGCTTGGTGCCACAGTAACATTCCTGCCCTGACTGACTGTAGGACTAAGAGATGGGCAGGAGGGGAGGAAGGAAACCACCCCTTTCTTTCCTGAAGCCTGAAAACCAAATGCCAGCAAATGAGATGTATCTCTGATGCCACATTCCCACCCTCTGACACTTCTTGGTGTGGAGTCATCTCAGGTGCTTCTCCGCTGAAAATTGGTTCTTTTCAGGAACATCAAAACTACTTGCAAGATCCTTATGCTAGTAGGATGTGTGCTATGCTAGCACAGAGGTCCACAAACAGACCTCCCAGCTCCCCAGAGCACCAAGGGGCTGAGGAGCACAGTTCACCTGGGGTCAACGCATCTGCTCAGCACTGGGAAGAGGTAGAAGTGCCTTTCCCTGCCTGTGTGCCCAGCGCCTGACTTCGCCTGTCAGAGCTCGGCACTGCCCCCACCTCTTGCCACTGCTTTTTTCACGTTTCATTTATTCCTGCCCGCAGCAACTGGGGAGGAGTCTGGCGTGCGTGTGGCATCTCTTGCAGCGTGGGGCTGGGCCAGGTGGCAGCAGGCCTGGCTAGGCAGGTGACACACTTTTACGTCCAGAGCTAACAAACCCTTTGCCTCAACTGATCCAAACAAATAAGGTGCTCACTCTCCTCTCCTGCTTGACTTCGTATTCCCTGCATCTCACTTCGCTTGATGACTGGTGTATTTAAGTCATTTCCCTCACCGGCTTAAGTAGGATCAGTTTCAGGTCACCACTAAATTCCTGCATATAATGTCATGGGTAAAAAAAGATTACACAAGTCTATAAAACTATAAAACAAAATATGTGTACTAGAATCGAGTATAATTTCTCACTAGTGGGGTAAAAGAGGGCTAATATTTCCTTACTAGAAAGATCAGACTGAGCCACAGAGAAAAGTCACTTTTTTGAAGGTTATTTGGTTGTGAATCTCTATCCACAAGCCTACACTGCTTTTAAAGAAAGTTTAGAAATTTTCACTCTACTACCCAGTCACAAAATCACAGCTTTAAGACAGAACTGATTGTAATCCTTAGCGAGCCATGGATTTCAAGGTTCATCTATCAGAAAACTGTTCACAGAATAAAATTCTTAAAATACCAATTTGCATGTCTTTTGCACCAAACACACTTGTATTCAGTGACTAGGAAAACCCCCTCCCCTCCAGTGGCCTCATTTCCAGTTTTACAAGGCACTACATCAAACAAAATAGCCTTTTATGTGCATATACTGACTTTAATAAATAAGGAAATACATATATACACAGATACATTAACCTACACCAGTGGGACACAGCATTAGAGTTTTGGAACTTCACTCCAAGCTTAAGGCACTTTCAAAACACAAATGTCTTTAGAAGAACTAAAGATGATGGGCAGAAACCTTGCCACCTCTAACTTCAAAGTTTACCGGTATGTATGTGATGAGACATTTGAAGTGGAAACTAGCCCTGGGCTTCCAGAGGTGTAGCACAGAGCAGTGACAATTCCAGCTCAACTACCTTCTTCCACTATTCCTAAGCAAGGCAGCATGATGAGAGCATCATTTGCCAAAGGGGACTCCTGGCTGGGAAACTGCAAATTCCAATTTGCAAGACTGAAACTCCAAGGTCGCTAGAAAAATGTTCCTCCTCATTGCTCACGGGAACCAAAATTGGTTTTAACTTCCTATATATCTGGAAACCAAACAGCTCAGCTAATAAAACACTTCATTGCCTACACAGTAAGAAAGCAAAACCTGCACAGCGGTAATGACACTGCACTGACAGAAAGCTCGCAGCTCTCCTATCACAGCTGACAGGGAAGTTTTCAGACGCCTGCTTTTGTGAGATTTCAAAACAGAGCTTCATTTTTTAAACACAAGCAGCCAACCAAATATTTGCACGTTACTCTCTCTCCTTAGTAGGCTGGGTGTAGCCCTACTGAACACCTGAGCAGTAGTTGGTGTTGAGTAACCGACTTCTACCCCCCAAAAAACTGAACAGTTTTCAGGGTGTTTTCCAGCAGCAGCTTGAGAAGCAAAACATTACCTAGGGAACTTCCTTCAATAAGTCTAAGCGGCAGAGCAGCAGAGCTGAGTCTCTTCCAATAAGAAGTTAATGCACAGCCCCGAGTGCTCGGTAAATCATCAAGAACAGCAGTTGCTTTCACACACCTGCCATTAATCCTTACTTGGCATGTGCTGGACACGCCGAGCATGGAAGATAAGCTGGACAAAGCTATCAGCTTCATGCCATGGGTGAAGGAACAGAGACAGACTAGGGACAAAAATTACATTCCTGTAGTGCATTTGAGAACTAGCAAAAGACTGAAAAATATAAGGGCTTAACAGATTTATTAGTAACTGCTGGCATGTAACGTGGAATGTGCTACAATCTTCACATACAAGGAATTCATGGTAATTACTGGCCAAGCACTGCAAAGCACGGGTTAAACAGAAAGAAGCTGAAAGCAGCATGCACAACCTCCTCACACTTATTAAACTGCTCTGAATGTGTAAATCCATCTCACACTTGTCCAATCAACCCATTTTCAGTCCTATTTTAAATGCTACAGGGACCAAGCTTAAGACTTAGAAGAGGGCTGGAAACTGGCAGCTGTTTGCAAGTGGCAGGTGGGACGCAACTCCAGGTGACAGTTCCCTCCCTGCTCAGGGCTTAATTCCACTCAACTATGAGGAAAGTCAATATGAAAAGAACTCAGTTTTCATGTATTACTGCAAAGGAAACAGCAGATGTATCTAGATCAAGTCATATGTCCTACCCCCCTTTTCTTCTGAAGGGGCCACAAAGACAAATGAATACCCTGATGTGAACCACGTGGTTACAGCACTCCCTGTGTCGCCACTTGCTAATAGAACAAGGTAATGTACTTATACATAGCTATATACTTGTTAATAACAAGTTATTTTCAAAGCCCACTGGCCAGCAGCCTTCCCTTCCAGCTCTAGGTTTTATTACCTCTCCTACTATTTTCCCATTTGTACCTTACCCTTCACAGCATCAGCAAACACCACTATGACAACACGGCGCTGCAAGAGGTACGACCAGGCCATCAGACCACATGCTGACATTCCCTAGAGCTTTGACTGCTTAACACCTTTTCTTGGCTGGAAACCTTTCACATCAGGCTCCAGCTCAGAAGGGCAAAGAGAGATTATTATATCGGGGACATTATTACAACCTTGACTAGAAGCAAACCTCAAACCTTTAGGAGGGCAAAACCTTCTTAATCTGTCTGACAGTAGGCAGATTTTGCTCAGTTCTGCATCCTTCAACTGTAACAGAAGTACAGTCACTGCTACAGCTCTGCTCTGGACTAACCAGGCAACAGTGCTGTGACAATCAAACCTTTAATGTGCACAGTTTAAACAAAGCAGCTTTTATTCAGATATAAGGAATTTTAAATGTTACTCTGCCATAAGCCAGCCCCTAAGAGTGGCTCTGAGTACTTTTGCTGCAGAGCCAGAACTGCAGTTTAAACACAGGTCTGCCCTCTGGGAAAATGAAAAGTTATAGACCAGCTCACTTGCAGCAGCTTGCCCACAGTGTGGCTTTTAGCAGCATTTCCTACTGCTTAGTCAACACCTAAGTGATCCACAAGTTACAAAGGTAACTAAAATCCAGGGTGTGCTTACTCATTATCTCAGCTGTCTTCATGTCACACACTGCTGGGCATTTTCTACGATTATGGCAGCTGCTAAAGACTTAACAATAGACAAAATTCAGGCATATTTTCTGAATCAAAGTAGTCTAAGATAAGAAACAATTTTCTATGACTTTCACATGGAACGCTATCCCCACTGAGTCATCCCCAGGCAATAAAAGTTCAAACCATTATTACACGCTCTGATGTAGAGGGAAGTAGCAGACTTGTTTTGTGCCTGTGAGGCCTTTCAAAAGGCAAGTTGCCCATGAACGCTGCCCACTCATTTGTTATTAAAACCACACAGCAAAAGGGCACATGAAGTAGGAGCCACAGCTCAATCCAGCTTGTAGAATCCTCACTCCTTGCAAGCAACCTTCCTTCTCTTCAGTAACACTGAGAGTCCAACTCAGCCCTTGCTCGCTATTGCCCAGGGAGGGTCAGATTCCTTCATTCTGCTCCTTTATCCCCTTCTCCTCTTCCTGCAGCCAGGTTACTAGTAAGTCTTCCTTGAGGTTCAGGGTTGTTTCACCAGTATACTTAAAAAAAAAAAGCTGATTACATCTTTGTTGAGCAAGGCATTTAGCAAGAAGAGAACTGGTTTTGGAAAACAAGTACTCTTAATATTTAAAATATTACCTAACTGATGTCATTCCTTCGATGACAATACC